GGTCTGAATACTTTCCGTACCCACTGTAGTACTCTAGACTGGTCTTGGTCTCGAGACCGGTCTTAAGACCACTTTCTGATGGTCTTGGTCTCGTCTCGGACTCGACCATATTTGTACTCTGTGTTGTCTCGGTCTGGCATTGAGGACTTGGGATTTTATTTCAAGACCAGTCAAGACCATAACTTTGGGAACATCAATAAATTACTTTTGCATTGTCTCATTTATTTGTTCAATTCAATTAAATTTTATTTATATAGCGCCAAATCACAACAACAGTTATCTCACTGTGCTTTTCATAAAAGAGCAGGTCTAGACCGTACTCTATGATGTTATTTACAGAAGCCCAACAGTTCCCACCAAGAGCAAGAACTAGGCGACAGAGGCAAGGAAAAACTTCCTTTTAAGAGGCAGAAACCTCGAGCAGAACCATGGCTCAGGGTGGGCGGCCATCTGCCTCGACCGGTTGGGGTGGAGGGAGGCAGCCTACACAATATACACACAGAGGTACAGACAGTGAAGGTGATGTTGCTATAGACTAAATGAAAAATGGTACAGATATTTATAGTAGTGTTAATGGTAACAGTCGTAATGTTAATGATTATAATAACAATAGGACTAGTAACAATAGTCGTTGCAGCAGAGGGTGTCGCACAGGAACACGGGGGCAGCAGGTGACCCGCAGCCACAGATCCAGACTCCACAGCTCCAGAGCCAGAAAACCTGCAGGAAGTGATAGGAGGAGAGAGGAGAGGGACGAGAAAACACAAGACTACCAGAAAGGGGAGAAGTTGTGTTAGTAACATGCAATAATGGGATGAGGTTGCATACAGAGGGAGAGAAAGTAGAGGAGAGAGGAGCTCAGTGCATCATAGGAAGTCCCCCGGCAGTCTAGGCCTATAGCAGCATAACTAAGGGATGGTTCAGGACTCACCTGAGCCAGCCCTAACTATAAGCTTTATCAAAGAGGAAAGTCTTAAGCCTACTCTTAAATGTGGAGATGGTGTCTGCCTCCTGAACCTTGTTAACATCCTAACTTTAATTGGGCGTAAAACGTATTGCTTCAAATGCAACCAATAACCCTAATAACCCTAAAAATGTGTTACAGTTAACGACTGTCATTCCTAACACGATGGTAAGCATGGAAAAGGAGTGTTGAATAAAGATGCTTACGTTGATTTCAGCTCTTAGTGTTTGTATGTTGGTGTTCTAATGGGAATGTGGATCTTTCAGATCAGTTTGAGAAGTACCTATGATGTTGTTCCACTTTTTATTGTGTTCATGTAATGTGGAGAAATGGTCTTGGTCTCACTCTCCCTCGGTCTTGGTCTTGATTTGGTCTCGGTTGGAGCGGGCTTTACTACAACACTACCTCTGGCTGGATGAAGTCTGACGCTCCGCAAGATCCATGATGAAATATATAGATTTATAGTCAATAAAGCATGCTCTCAATATTTTAGAGACCCCCAAAATATCACAAATGATGCTTTTAGGGGAGCTGATGTCTTATTAAGAGGAGCTAAGCTCCCCTTGGATCACCCATAGTTCGCAACCTGGGCAGGAGTCTCACCACAGTCGCTCTCATGCATCAGTGGCATGTAATGTGTTGGGCAGTAATACTGCAGCATTACTTTTCCCAGTAAAGAGTTATAGGCTACGTCTAATGTTTATTTTGACTGCTGTATGAATGGTTGCTTTTTAAGTCGTCCTTATGTTAAAGTTTTTGGCAAGTTATAAAAAAAATTCTTGTGAATGGTTGTGAGAGGGTTTATAGGGCCTTTTCAGACAGCCTGGATCCGCGGGGTCGATCTGCACTCCTCTTCAACAGACAGGCAAACAAGCGCTCCGCTAGTTAACCATGGCAACGGCTTCTGTGTAATTGCCGCGATCACGTGAAACTGTCGCGGTCATTCTCGTCTCACGCACACGCTCGCCGCCAGAGCTGAAATGTCAGACTTTTTCCTAGTGTAGAGGTGGTGCTGGCGCAGTGGATAAAACACATGCCTTTGGTGTGAGAGACCTCGGTTCAATTCCCCATTGAACCCCACTGGTTGGGGCGTGTGACCTTAGACATATATAGCAATTGTAAGTTGCTTTGGTTTATTGAATAATATAACTCTTAGTTAGGCCACCAGTTCTTAAACAGGCGACAACCTTTGCTGCTGTCTCTAACAGTAATCTATTAACTTCTACTGAACTAATTTGAAAGTTAGTAGTTATATTATTGTTATACACTCAATTATTTCATGTTGCACATTTAGCTGTTGAAGTTCAGTAAAAATGAATACAAAATAATTATTATAGAGAGGTTGCGATGGTGCAGTGGATTAGACACTTGTCTTTGATTCCCACTGCAACACATCCACCAAATAAGTTATTGTCATGGGTCCAGCTTTACCATCCATGTTATAATAGAGCCGCCGCCAGTTTTATCGGGGTGTGGGGAGGTCTCAGTATATTTTCCTGCTTCTTTGCCAATCACATGCCTGCTGTAATGTGATAAAAGTTAACAGTTATGCGTTACATGACAATTGTAACTGCGTTACAGACAAAAGTAATCTGATTACAGTAATGCGTAACGCATTACCCCCAACACTGGTCATGCGATTGTTGTATTAAAGCTGCATTATATGTTTTTTTGGCAGCAGAAACAAGCTGTTAATACAACTGTTTGCTGCGGAGTAGCTTGTGTATGGCAGCTTCTTCTCTGAAAACCCAAAACAATGACCTGGAGTGCACCTCTGTTGAGCTGAGGGGAACTGCAGAGTCGGGTGATAATTCTCTGTGGGTTCATCACTGTGCGATACCTTTCACATTACCTTGAGTCATTTGATCCATTATTAATCTGAAATCTTATCCTATCCTTGAAGAGTCTTAAGAGGCTTTAGGAGAAGAGACGGAGACAACAATTGACTCATTTACCTGGAGACAGAGTTGAATCTTAAAAGAGGAGGACAGTGAGAGATGTCAGGAGTAGCAGACATAATGTCTTTCCATCAACCTTTTAATGTACATCATTAGCTTTCACTTTGCTGGAAATTTGGACCTCACTTGGCTGTGGAAAAGTTTGTGTATCATAAAAAACTGAATATGAAAGTGCAATGGAAACAGAATTGATAAATAAATCATGACATAAATGAAGCATGTGACTTAAACGTCACTCAAGCTTCTGGTGAAGAGCTGAAAACATCAGTGTGAAGCAATGAGGCAACAGTAACCTTTTTTCCCGTCTGCAGCTGGCCTCATCAACAAGACCTGGGCTGCCCACTCATCCTCTCCCTCAGACACTACATGTTACATTATTGTAAAGTCTCCACACTTGACTCAATGTGTTACAATGACACATATTTGTTGGATTATTATCTCTGGACATTGCACATATTCTTTATACTCCATAGTGTGAACTTTAGTACATTCTGCTCAAACAGTAAATTGCACATATTTTGTATGGTAGTATTTCGTAGTATTTGCTTTGACTGCAGCTCTTTAGTGACATCACCTCAACGTGTCTTCTTCTGTGATGGTTCATTGGCAGCAACTGGAGAATTACAGGCAAGGCAAGGCAAAATTAGCAAGTATATGCAGGTTTTTGTAATTGTGGATAAATCTGCTAAAATTGGCCGGTAGACAAGTTTCCTATTCTGTTTTATTTGTGATGAAAAGGGGGAGCGCAGGGTTAGTAACAGCAGAAAGCAGCATGGAGGCCAGTAATAATTTTACAATCGTTGCTGTGTGCAGGCCATACACGAAAATACATAGACGTAGCCACTCTGACATCACCCACTGGAGTGTGGACCACTGTTTTGAAACCTCGAATTTGGCATGTTGGCCGTCGCCATCTTGTTTTTTTGCAACCAGATGTGACCATATTTGGATGAGAGGGTGGCGCTAGCTAGCTTGATTAGCAAGGTGCATCTGTAATTCAAGTTAAATGTGATATTAGCTGGAATGCTAATTTTGGATAGCAACAAACAGGCTTTTAACAAAATATACTTACCAGAAAAATTAACAGCTGACTTCTAATAAGCTTTTTCAGCAGCGCTGGTTAAATATACACAGAGCGGAGGATGCAAGTTGCCTGTATCCTGATTGACAGGTCATGACTTGTCGTCGCCTCACCCTAAAGCTTCCCCTGCTCTCTGGTCTATTTTCCTCTACATGTGACCATAATTTACTAAATGAACATCAGGCTGTGTTGAAAAAGACTTGAAACTAGCGACTGAGACCATAAACTCATTAGGAAAGTGTTAACTGAGGTAATAAATCAGCTGAGAAGAAGCCTTGTTTTTCATGTGACCTCTATACAGTCACACTTGTCTTTGCAACCAGTACCGCGCCTTTCGCCCGATGTCAGCTGGGATTGGCTCAAGTGTACGCAGGATAAGCAATTGATGATGGATGGAGTCACCCTGTTGGCCGTTAGAGAGATTGCAGGTTTAAGACACTTCAACATCGGAGGTCCAGTGAAAATGTAAAATAATAAGTTGTAGCCACAGTGTCTTGTTAACAGCCAGCACCATGCTGAGATGGTGTTTGTGTGCTGTGAAAGACGTCACAATGCTGATATAAAGTCACACAGCTGACGGACTGTTAGCTTAGCGTGCTAATACTACATAAACATATGGATGAGACATTTATAGACATCCACAGATAGAGACATGACTGTTCTCTCACTATCTCCATCAGCCAATGAACTCATATCCACACAATAGGAAAGATGGAAACTTCCAGTAAATATGCATCTTCTTTCTTAAATTTGCAGTAAATTGCATGGAAACCTGACTAGAAAGAGTGCGAGAGAGGCAGCATTTGAATGAGAGGCAGAGAGAGAGAGAGAGAGGCAGAGAGAGAAAGCGAGTGTGCAGTTGACTTAAGGAGTGGGAAAAACCAGAGAGAACAGGACTTACAGATTCAGCAAAAGAGAGAAAGGGATGCAAAAAAAATGGGAGAGAGAATGAGATACACTCAAGATGGAGAAACAGCCAATACAGTACGAGGGAGAGAGACCCTGGGTAGAGCGAGAGAGCACAGGAGATCACAGCAAGAGACCTGCAGAGAGAGAGAGAGAGAGAGACTGAATGTGAGAAGCAGCGTGAGGAGAGTGAAAGCAGAAAATCATTCAGCTCCTGATCGTCACTGAAGACGATTCAACAACTTACAGACACTCTCTGGAAACCTGAAATCCACATGAGACCTCTTCTGCCTGCTGTTGGTTTACAGAAGAACTGGACACATCCTTCTTTTATTTCTTTTCTTTTAGGAAAGTGGCATAAGAGAGGTGGAAATATCCCACGAGGGAGAGATGAAGGCTTTAAATAAAATCTATGAAGCTGAAGGAATACTGAACCAGGTCTGCGTTTGTTTGCGGAGGATTTGGAGAGGTACTGACATTTTCCACTGAGGGATTATACTTCAAGGACGAGGAGAGATTTAAGTAATATTTATGGTCCCTGAAGGGCTGACATTGTTTTTGGAGAACACAGAGGAATGTTTTTACTCTGAGTCAGGACTTTCTTAAAGCCAAACTGATGTGAGTGTGTGTGAGGGGAAAGTTAGTAAGGTGTCTTTGGGTAACGCACACGTCAAACACAGCTGCAGGCGCACTCTCACAGGTGCTGGGATGAGTCGAGACAAGAGGGCAAGGACACGCAAGGATTTTCACACAGATTCACTAACACACTCGCACAGTGATTACACGCAGGTATGTAGTTTAGAATAAAGCCACCTTTACACAGGACACCTCTCCGCTCTGCAAATTCACAACTAATGTCGAGAAAATCTGCAAAAAAAAAATTGATAGAAGTTATGGTAATACAGACCTTTACGGATGAAAACAAAGGGTCTTTGTTCTTTGTTTTCTTGGCTGTTTGCTTTATGAATATCAAAGACTAAAAGGTCAAACGTCATCTGTTTGAAATCAAAGACTTGCAGGGGATGAAATTCTGATTTGTTGAAGATCCAAAACTTCAGATGGATCTAATATTTTTATCATGAGGGCAGCTTTGACAAGCCCAGACTTCAAGGATGAGAAACCTGCAAGAGTGTCTTCCATGGCAGCTTCAAAAGGATTCAATAATCAGAAGATGAGAAGACATTTTTTTTAAATGACTGAAGGCATGTGAGTCGAAATCTTCCCAATATCTGGAGGAGAGCCTAACTGGAACACTTTTTGTTTGTTTTTCCAGTACTGTGTGAGGAGCTGCACACAGGGACAGTACAAGCAATTTCATTTTTATCCATTCAGCACTGTCCTTTGAGGTTGAACAGCTGCTCTTCTCTGCTGAATTCCACAGTCTGCTATTTTTGTTTCCCTGTGTGGAGAAGATCATCATCTGTTGATGCTTTGACAGACGATTCGAGGCTTGAGTTTGTCTCTGAGATGATGGAGTAAATAACTGACTGCACATATTGAATTACATTTCATTACTCAAGTGATAAATGGTGTTATATCTGTTGTATTCACCTGGGGACAGGAAATGGAAAGCGGGTAAATGATTAGTGGAGGTTCCTCCTCCTTACTCTGCTCTGACCCATTTTCCAGGCAGCGGTCTTGAGGCGTCTCTGTCTCTGGCTGTGACGGCGTTACCGAGCTGACACCATGAACCTGCGTAGCAGAAACGTGTCACAGTTGATCTCGAACACTGTCAGAGCCGTTACCGCTCTGGAGTCCAACACCTGGCCTTCACGTGGATTGGAGGAAATCACTCTCCGAATCAATAACGTGACGAGCCCGGGGTGTCACAAAGGCATTGACGCACAGTTGGGGAACTTGTCTTATCGTAACGTTGCAGGAGTATACGCTGAGGAGGGCACCAGGATTTACGGGTCTCAGTGTCCTCCCCAAGAGATGGCGGTGGAGAAGAACTGGGCGGCTTTGCTGATTTTAGTTGTCATCGCTGTCACGGTCATGGGCAACATCCTGGTGATCCTGGCAGTCTCCCTGGAGAAGAAGCTTCAGAACGCTACAAACTATTTCTTGATGTCGCTGGCAGTTGCTGACATGCTCCTGGGCATCTTGGTCATGCCGGTTTCCATGGTGACCATTCTCTACGGTAAGCATTGAGTGACACTGATATTGGGCTTGACATTTGGTGTGTTGCTGACTTGAGTCCAACAGGCACACAGTTTTGTTCCCCAAGTGTATGAATTGCTGCTGCAACCTGCCTGCATGTACAAAGCTTTATTCACTCTGCAGAACAAAGTGCCCCAAATCTAAAATCAATGACAGCGTGAAGAAAAGAACCTGACATGTCTTTGTTGTTTCTGATGTGGGGCGCTCTCATGTCTGGTGTTTAGCTCATGTTTTTGCATTGTCAGAATTCATGCATGACTCGGTGCCGGCGGTCAGGGACAGATGGAGAGCAGCAGTGATGGAGGTGTTCGGTGGTGTTGTTGACAGTGATGTGTTTATTTGGAGTGCTGCTTCAATGCAAAATGAAAGTGGCAATGCCTGTGCAGCTACAGAGATGAATGAAAGGGCCCACAGGACAATGTAGCTGCAATATCAACGCAAAGATAATGGCACTATAATTAACTTTAATGTAAAACATATCTGTGTGTAAAATGAAACAAAAGAAGCAACTACAAAAAATAAAAGCTCTCCAGATAAACCTGTTAAGGAGACCTTGCTTCCATACTGACCATCTACCAACCTGTCGGGAGTGTGTATGCTACCTGTCACCTCCTAGTTCCCTTTACATACACAGACATACACAGACTACCATTTAATCCAACCAGTCCTCCAATGCTGGAATAACACTACCTGTGTGTCAGTTTGTGATCATGTGATCGAACACAACTTTGTTTAGGAATATGCAGCATGTGAGTGCAATGCAAACTAAAATAATGACTCGTTTTAACTCATTATGACAAGAGACGTTTTATAGAGGAGACACGTTAAGAATCCCCAGTACAACTCTATAGAGAAAGCTTGTAACGCCAAAGATGGAAAGCCAAAAAAACAGCAGAGCCGGGATACAAATTTCAGCCAATTGTGCGGTTCCACGCATGTGTCCCTTTTAGCACGCATACGTGGTAGAAGAATAACCTGTGGGGAAAAACTTTGTTATGAGTCAATTGTCATCAGGTGGTCATTTATGAAGAGGGCAGTAAGTGGACCTCAAGTGAGGATTATTTTCTCAGACTGTTTCTCGCGAGGTCATGAATGAACTTTAACGCTCAGGTCTTTAGTTTAGATTTAGACACAAGACTCCTCTATAAGACATGACCACAAAATTAGGTAATGTGCCATATGGGTGTAGACACTTCCTGCACTCTGCCTTGCAAAAGAAACACAGAGCATGATATATAAAAACTTCATTTAATCAGGTGATCTGATTGAGATCAAACTCTCTTTTGAAAGGGAGAACCGAGAACAGCAGAAGAACAAACATGTCCAGACAAACAAACAGACAGATGTCACTGATTAGATTCAAAGTTTAAAATCAGCCATGGGAAGAGACACTCAGGTTTTAAATCCTCTGTAGTTCATTTATAAAGGTGTCAAATAGCAGAAGGCAATCTGTCCAGGTTGATTACTTACCTGAGGGGTAACTAGAGTTAAAACAGGCCTGAGATCTTTTCTGGTAAGCTCTGGTTTTAAATTAGAGTGGTGATATACTGAAGCACAGAGAGGACCACATTTATTTATTTATTTGTTCATTTTTGCAGGGAAAACACACAATTAAAAGTAATTGCACCAGAGTTAGCTAGCAGCTAATTTGCATCTGTTGTCGCTGGGAAGGTGGACGAAAAACAACCACAGAACAGTAAACACACTCCACAAAACAGCACAACCCATCAGTGTGAGATAAATAGAATCAGCATGATAAATAGAAGGCAATCACTGGTGGTGACACTTTTGTGCTGACTTTAGCCAGAGCTTGTGGCTGCTTTTAAAGGAAGGGGTAATTTATTTAAGAAGCTTCTTTTTGTTCCGGACAGCAATCAATAAATCCAATGCTCCATTACTGTTGCAGGGCTGTCTTTAAAGTATGAATTTACAGTCAGAGGAACAACAAGTTTGGAACCTGCAGCTCTGCCCTCTTCTCTCCCAGTCAGTCTCCTGCTGATTCCTGTCAGTCAGCTGAATGTATCCTGTGCTTTGCTTCATTTTCTCTGTTTACCAGTCTGTCACTGTCCCACCACACACACACACCCTCCCTTAAACACACACCTTCCACCGTCCTCAGCTGATCCTCGCTCTTCTCCCTGAGCTTCCCTGTGTCGGCGCAAATGTCATGAGCCGCTGCTCGCATTAGGAGCTTTAAGCCCTAAGTAGCAAATTCATTTGCATGAGAACAAGTGCGGTAAATTAGTCAGAGGGAAGAGTGCTTTCAAAAGAACGACCTCCAGTGATTATTACTCGCCTTCCCCGGTCTTTAATGAGAAGACAAAAGAACTCATTAGCCACGCCGACGCCAAACATAAACACACACGCTGCAATTATTGTCTCATGATGTTACACGGCCTCGGTGTTTCACGTTCATTTAGTGACTCAGAGCAAACAGCATTGTTTCAGGGTGAGAGGGCGTAACGATAATATCACGGCAGCGGAGTGATCTTCTAAAATGTGACGGTGGTCATGAGCGAGGTTGATATTGATGGTTATTAATGAGGTCATAGATGAGTCTGTGGTTGATGCCACGGCTGAGTTTGTGAATATTAGATTATTAATGGGGTCATTAATCAGCTCAGGAAAGGCTTGAAATAATGAGCGAGGTTATATGCGATCTTGTATTAGACTATAGGCATATGTGACAATGAATTTTTTTTTATTTAACTTTTATTTTCCCAGGTTTGTCCAATTGACAACCTCTTTTGCAAGCGAGACCTGGCCAAGAACAGCAGCAACACAGGGTTTCAGTAATACATTAACATAAAATCACATACATATAGAACTGGGTCATTTATTACATTACATAATCATTAAGATGATCAGGAAAAGCATTTGCACACAGACAACTTTGATTCAAAGGATTTCACCGTAGTCGGTCAGGTTTACTATGTTTTGAATAAGATAACTAAGGTAAGACAGGACAAGTTACTGCAAGTTTCACTTAAGTATTAACACTAGCAGCAGAACGTTTAAACGTTTAGGAAAGTTACTGCAGTTAAGTTTTTAAGCTAAGCGTCTCTTCCACTAGCCTCAGCCAGACGACCTCTGCCACACTTTCTTTCTGCAATCTGAAAAGTTGGAACATAAATCTGCAGTTTTCTGTACATGTTCCAAGATAAATGATCTGCTGCTGCAGTGCACAATGAATTTGATCACCTCATTTTGGATACAGTTCTAGTTAAATAAAAGAGATTTATTTTGTTAGGATCCCAGAAGTGTCGTCCAATCCCATCAGTGCTTGATGATTACAGGCAGCAGAGCAGAAAAAACCCAAGCTCGAACTTTAATCATGTCACCTGAATAAATTTCACAGGTTCAACTTTAAAGAACTTTATTAATTCATCTCGGGAAAATTCAATTTTTTTGCTCTGCTATGTTTCATAACACACACAGTGAGGCGCCTGAAGATGGGAAGATCATCAACTGTCAGTTAGGTTTAAAGTCTCAAACATGGCTGTATGGCTATGAGAACCATGGGTGTGGCTAGTGACGCATGACATCAGTTAATCCAAGGTCACTCTACACAATTTTAAGCCCGATTTGCCACTCGCCAACTGTCCCGACAGTTGATGGTGATCAGGAGCAAATCAGTAATCGATCGGCGGTCGCCAATTTTTATAGGTGAACTACTCAAGGACGCATAAAAACGGCTCGCCATCACAGATGCCAGCCAGATATCGAACATGCTAAATATCTGGAGGAGTCGGCCGACTCGACATCCACATCCAGCCAGTGAGAGCAGGCAGCTACTTTTTCACTACAAAACATTTTTTACTCACCTCTAATTGTCTCTGTAGCTCTGACAATCCCTGCTGCCAGCATGTGCCAATCCATTCTTTCACCCAGATTCTTTGTCTTCATAATTTCCTCTTTTGTGTGTAGTTTTGCGTCATTTCTCGTGTCACTTGGAGACCAGAAAGAGTCGTCGGGGGACAGAGTTGTTGTCAGCCTGTGTAGTGTGTTACCTCCTGTCACCGACCAGTCACATATGAACACCACAATGACTTCAAGATCCCGTCACGAGATGGGAAGTTGTGCAGTCTGAACAGCACGTGATCTGCCAACGCTGAAAGTTATGTAATCTGCACAAGCCTTTAGCCAGCAACATAGAGCTGTGAAGTGAGAGACATTTTACTGGTGCCTCTTGTTCCAGAAGTAAAAGTCCTATTATTTGTCCCATTAACAATGTTACCTGACCAACAGTTGGAGCTCCTCTATGACCTGAATCAACATGAAAACTCTGCAGTTTGAATCAGCAACAATGAGCCACTGTATCAGAAAAAGCTTCCAGACAGATTGTTTTAAATTAATTTTAGCAACTTTGACGCCAGGTTTAATTTTTAACTGCACGGATGACGAGTTAATTCACTCCCGCTCTGATTCACACCTCTGACCAGCTTCCACTTCAAAGCAACAGCAGCTGAAGCTCATGGGTGTTGTAGTATGTTGAGCCAAAATGTCTGGCAAAACATGATTTCTCTTAAACAAAAATTGAAATGATTACAACTGGTGGTCAGGACGTAAAGCTATAAGATCGTTAACATTGCAAATATTATATATATCGCATTAAGGAAGATTTGAAATCCTCAGTATAAATTCCCCTTTTCAAAATATTCTTCTGATAAAAATGTTCCTCGACTTAGAAACATTCGACTCTCCTGGATCATTTCATGATGGTTTCATTCATATAAGCTGTAGATTGTAAAATCACTTTTCTTAACAGCGAAATTTTTCACTTCCACCCTGCGTTAGTAGCACACATGGCTCTGTAATTTGATGTTTTTACTGAAACTCACCATGGCATTGCAGTTAACGTCTCAACTTAAGTTTTTATGTAGACAGCCTTGTACCTTTTCACTTTTTATTTACTGAAAAACAAGAATACACAACTGTCCTAATTTCAAGCATCAGTGCACATAAACTCTCCAGAAAAGA